GATCTGTTCTAAAACACCCAACGTTCTGTTCAGTAATAGAAGACTAAACATTAACAACCCATATTAAATCACTTATCAATGCATAGCCAAGTAAACACAGAAATCAGAAAAAAAAAGAGCTCCCAATGTACTTACAAAGTAGCAATAATTCTACTCAAAATAGCTCTGGGCCTTCAAGTGCTCATGACATCAGACACCATCTTCACAAAAAGATGGCAAATACAACAACATTCAATATTTAATTTAAACTTTTACCTGAATTTGGCAATAAAATGCATTTTTTGTGAGTTGAACAATCACTTCCTGTACATGGGAGGGTTTTTTTTTGTTTTTGTTTTTTTACCTTAAATGTACCTGTAAATCCATTGTTATTAATGGGACTGTGACCAAAGTAAACTGTAAATTGTCTGCAACAACACTTCACAAAAAACAGTCCTCAAAGGTTCAATTAGGTATTTTGATGAGAATTATTGTTTTTGTGTAAACCTCCCTCTAAATCATTGTTAAGGTGTGTTTTGGTGTTGCTAGGTGACGTTATGGAAAAATGCCTGTAGTTTCCGCCACAGATTTCAACATTTTATAAAGACTTTTCTTTGTATACTGCAAATTTTGTGGTGCAATATTTTGATTATGACAGCCAGCTCTATCTCACCAAAATAGGAAGAATTACACACACTCAACCTGTCATATGCACTTTAAGCATTTTAGTGTGCACAGTAATCAATCTGAAACAGAATTAAGCATCAGTACAATGTCATAGAGGCAAAACACTTCAAAACAACTGTATTTTGCGATTTCCATGTCGGCTTGCAAACAGCTGTATGAACTCATCCATATCCAAGGCCTTAGCTCTGTTGGACTCCACGCTTAACATCCCGAGGTCACTAAGTCTGTCATTGCTCATTGTGGTGCGCAAGTGATTTTTTATCAGTTTCAATGCTGAAAAGCTGCGTTCACAAGCAGCTGTGCTTATAGGTAAGGCGACTGCAATTTTGCACAGTCTGAACAGTTCATAAAAGACTTCACTGAAAGGTTCCAAGAAAACTGTGAACTCTAGCAAACTGTTTATATCTTTCATTCCAGTTGCCTTTTTTCTATCCAAGATCCGTTTGGCTTGATGTAGTTCATGCTTAAGATCATCCAGGTTTGTGTTGTAAATACTTCCCAAACAAAACAGAGGAGTCTCCTTCAGAAAGCTGTTGCTTTTGGGATTTAGAGCTTGAATCCCCTTCATAATGTCACAGTTTGTTTTGGAAAAACGCCTCTCTAGCTCAGCCCTTAGAGTGTCCAGGATGGGATAAAAGACAGTCGAACAAAAAGACTCTTTGTCTTTATCACGGTTTGTCTGACCAATTGTTGATGTAACAACAGATTCATGAAGAGCGGAGCTGATCTTTGGCAGCCTTTTGGAAATGCTCTCTGTGTTAATGTTGCATTGCTGAGCAATCTTTAGTGCTTCTGTCCACAGCTCTCCGAAAAATGTTTTATTTCTGTATTGTTCAAATGTGTTTTGTAGTGCCTCAATGAGGTCAACAGCTCTGGCTAAGTCCAATGATGGTGATTGCAGCATATCAGAAAGAAACTTTGCATCTCTCAGTATCCTACAAAAAATTACCAGAATGCCTACGAAGTTTAGGTCAACCTGCCCACTTAGTCCACATGCTTCTACACATCGATCTCCATTGTTTTCACCATTAATTTCATCGAGGACACGGAGGACAGCTGGAAGCCTATCCATGAGATTTCGACAAGCATAAAACCTGCAAGCCCACCTGACATCACTTAGTTTGGACAACTCCCGAGGCTGATCATGAAACATTGTACGCTGTATGTCCTGCCACTTCTGATGTACATATGATCCAGACAGAAATGTATACAGCTGCTGCATCAAAGAAAAAAAGCATGATGCCTCTGGCACAGCTTTCACAGTGTCCACAATAACCAGATTTAGACAGTGTGCATTACAGTGCACATAAAAAGCCTGCTGAGCCAGAGACTTTATCCTTGCAGATACACCGT